GAGAGAGAGAGAGAGAGAGAGAGAGAGAGAGAGAGAGAGAGAGAGAGTTATTTTAATATTAGCTATATTTTGAGTTCAGTATATAGTTTATTAACAAATAAAATACTCAATTGAGTCGTAAAAATTGGTTAAAGTTTTGCTGTATTTTTTCTCTCTTTCCCTTTCATTACTTTGTATCCAAAACCTATTCATTTGCTACACATATGAGGGAAACATGTATTTCTATAAATCAATTGAAATTTTGTTAGCGAGAGTGTCATCGATAATGCATTTCATATAAAGCTTGCCTACAATTTCATATATATTTTCGCTTAAAAGTCAGATTTTTATAGCATTTTTTGCACAAATGAGAAAAACATCAAAAATATTGCAACGAAGAGTATGAGAAAGTGAGTTAGAGAGAGAGAGAGAGAGAGAGAGAGAGAGAGAGATTTAATGTCTCGACATAAACAGATAGAATATTTCATAAAATTTAATACCAAACTCTCTATTATAGTGAACCCCGTTATAGCTTTTAATTAAAATATATATTTGTTTAATAGTGGAAAAACTTACAGAATAACACTGACCTCGAAAAAACACTGGAGAGAGAGAGAGAGAGAGAGAGAGAGAGAATAGACATATAGAGAAAGTGTTGAATCCTCGCGAAAAATCTAGCACAAGGACTCTGGAGGGCAGTCACTAAATCACATCGATTATTGAGTGTTTGGGGGACCAACTATGGGGGGTAAGGGCATTACGTGCCATAATACAGCAAGTTAACCAAAATAACATTGTTCAATGTTTGTTTATAAAAATAATATATTCATATATAGTTACACAAAACACATTAAAATTAATTCAATTATAATTAACAGCTAAACGATTTCCTATTGAATATCGTTTGTCTGCTGAGGTCTACAGTATTTAACCCTTAAATTTAATGCATTATTGCACATGTATTAAATGAAACAAAAATATGTATAACTTATATCGTATTATACAATATACTGTACTGTATAACACAATTGGGTTGCATATTGTGTAGAAAATTAATGCATTTTAGGCGGTTTCCCGACGATCTCCTCAAACATACCCATCGCTGTTATGTATAAATAAATGCTTTTAAAATTCATGCATACATTTAGTGAGACATTTCATGTCTTGACATCAAATTAATAACAATTTTTATTTAGTTTTATATATACTTTCTATACGTGTATATGATTTTCAGTGCAATTTTTTAGCGATTCCGCCCAAACATACCATTTATATGGTGTGAGTGTTTCTGTGGAATATTCTTGTAATCGTATTATTATTATTAAATTTTATGAAATATTCTATCTGTTTATGTCGAGACATTAAATATCTCTCTCTCTCTCTCTCTCTCTCTCTCTCTCTCTCTCGATCCTATGCCCTCAACAACTGTTAAATTTGTCTTACAGTAAGTAAGCATTCAATATATCACTCGACTGTACTATTAGCTAATGTAAAGTTAATAACATTTTTGTTCACTTACTTATTATTATTACTTTTTTGCTATTTTATTAGTTTTATGGTTTATATAATCTGTACGAAGGGATAAATTTTGTCAAATATTTCTCTCTCTCTCTCTCCCTCTACTGAAGGATAAATTGAAATTCAAGAAACAATTTTTTCAATGTCTTTCCCTGTGTGTTACTTAACATAAATAATAGGCACACTTTGTTAGGGGTGCGCGAATGTATCACCACTAGTGTACACTTCATTTACTTCATTAACTACCTGTGCTTACGTGTATGTTATGAAACATAGTACAGGTACTGACTGTAAGTTACCATAAAGTGTTGTAAAATATATGCAAAAATATGTTTTGTGGAAATATTTTCATTTTATAATTTATTTGAATAGGAAAATGATAGTCAGAAAGAAAGTGCTGTTGACATTGGATTTGTATTAAATTATAAGAGTGTTTGTTGTGATAAAGTTATAATGAACTCTATTTCCTCTTTTAAATTTTATATGTATTTTCTCTTCTCATTCAATGAGAGAAAACAGTATTTGATTTCAAGTTTTGCTTAAGATTTTGAAATATGAGGAGAGAGAGAGAGAGAGAGAGAGAGAGAGAAGAAGGAAAACATACTTTTCATTTCATTCATAATTTGTTTGTTTATTGAAAAATCTAATCCATATTTAACTACATATTAAATAAACATTTAAAGGATATATTAATAGCCATTTGATTAGTATATAATTGGATGTTTAAGAAGTCATTTCCTCATTCATACGCCTCGTGTTGTTATCAAACGTTTCGATGAACCAGACCTTAGGTTTAATAGTAATTTTTAAAATAACATTAATGCTATTTCTGTAATAAATATTTCACGCATTGATTGCTTTTAATAAACAAAAATTTCATTTTGTTTTCCGTAGTGTTACTAATTGAAGGTCCAGTCAGTTGTGGTGATTATATACGGAGATTATTATTGAAAAATAGAGAGAGAGAGAGAGAGAGAGAGAGAGAGAGAGAGCTACTCTGACAAACAATTTTAACACCAATTCATAAATGTAAATCATGTTTACACACATGTATTACATTGATTACAACAAAAACATGCAAAACACAAACATAATCAGCGACAGTGTTTTTTACTCTGATATATCATTTGTATGAAAATAGTATACGAGTTGAATACCTGTGCCAATACGGGAGCAAACTTGGGATACTTCCAGTTGACACCCATACCAATGATGACGGGTGTGGTGAGCGAAATGAGCGAGATGAACATTTTGCCGTATGGTATGACCAGGGTATCGGTCTCGAGACTCCGGCCGTATAGCCATACGTTAAACGGCATCATAAATAGGGCAGCGATTGTAGAAAATGATGTCATCGTTACGCTATAGGTATTGACAAAAAAGCATAAAGTTAAAAACAAACAGTGGCATACAAATGCATTAATGTAAAATTTAAAAGTTGTATTAAACAACAATTTAAACCACAATTTATCGCAACACACATACAGTATACTGTATGACAAATACAAAAACACAAACTTATTTTGTAACATTTTGTATGTAAAAAATAGCAGCAAATTTTATCATAATCAAATAAATGTCAATATGTTTTAAACACATATAATGTAATAAATTGTGACAAATCTTTCTTACCTTAAGGAAAGATCTCCTTCACAGAAATAGGCGAATATATTGGACGCCACACCACCTGTAATAATATGGTAAATATAGTGTATGCAATCAATTGTGTACATGGGTTAGAACTGGACAAAGTGGTAAAAATACAATTACATTTAATTATCAATTAACTATTGCTATACAATGAGGGCTAAAGGCTATTGAGTATAGAGATGTGCTCAATGAGAGACAATTAGATGACATAGATATGTCTGGGGGTTCGGGTGACACAGACAGTGACATCGATTGAATTATACACCAAATGGTTGATACATACCTGGACTACAGGCCAGTATTAACATACCGGTGCCCCGGAGGGCGTCAATGGACAGTAATCTGATGAAGGGTTCGGGTGACACAGACAGTGACATCGATTGAATTATACACCAAATGGTTGATACATACCTGGACTACAGGCCAGTATTAACATACCGGTGCCCCGGAGGGCGTCAATGGACAGTAATCTGATGAGACAGTAGGCAGAGAAAGGCAGCAGAAAAAATTGACTTATCATTCCTATGATTACGCCGACCGGTCGTCGTATGTGTCCCCACACCTGTCCGCCACAAATATAATTTGTTAATTAATATATAAATCTATAGCTAATTAATATAAGTTATATTTAATTTAAATGCATTATGATATTTGGGTTATAAAATTTAGTATATTTTGGTATTAAATTTTATTAACAATTTCTCCTAGGTTTTATTTTATGTAATATAATCTTTCACGTTAATTTATTTGATTTATTGAACGTGATTTTTAACGAGTATCTCTTTAATTTAATTATGTGTCCGTTTTAATTATTGTTATAATCTTCATATAATATGATATATGCAATATAACTAATAATAATTTATTATTGATAATTACATTTACAATGAATAGCAGAAACATATCTTAAATTCTTAAAATATTTTAATTGTATTATAATTATAATGTTATAATTGATTATTTATAAAACAATATATGTTATTGTTCACTACCAAGTAATCATATATTAAAACTATCTTAATTATTATTAAACTTAAATTAAAAAGCTATACATCATTAATTAGGGTTTCGACAGGTTAGGTTGGATATCCATGGGATATATAAGTGACTTGTATTTAATTAATTAAAAACTGTTTTAAAAATAATAATTTAATTAATCATATCTGAGTCAAAGTATTTCATTAACAGATTAAACAAAAATAATCATAACTTTCATATCAAAACTCTTTAATATTTTAATTATTGTTTTGTCTGATTTTAATTGTGTCCTCATTTCGACGATTATAGAAAATAACCAAAAAATACAAATAATTTAATATAAAAACCATATTTTAAACAGCTCTCTCTCTCTCTCTCTCTCTCTCTTTCTCTAATCCCACTCTTAATGATTGAAATATTGATTGAATGACTATTTTTGACTAACGATATGATTTATAAATTAATGTAAATTAGATGCCAGTATTGTATACATTGCACACAAAAAGGCTAATATCCATACCATTGGGCGCCCAGTAATCCATAATTAATGCATATATTATTAATGACATTAAAAATATATTAGTGAATGTATGAATTAATTAGGTTTTCAGACTATGGTATCTATTGTTATATACATCTAATGTATTTATAAATACACTATTCAGTCAAATCAATGGCCAAACAATGCCCGCACTAAACTTATTATATTCAAATATTTTTATATTATTTCTATACTGTATTATGAATTTATAAATATAAATGTAAATGTAGTATAAATTGTACACTATATGGGGAGTAATACTGTACTGTATTTATGGACTGAATATATATGAAATTTACACAATATGTATAAATATAGTAATAAATTATAATTTATTATCAATTTAATCAAAATGAATTTTTTCTTGTTATAACAATAGATAAAATACTATTAATATAATAGCAATTAGTCATAAAAACATGCATTTGATTGAATTTTACTATACATTCTGTAGAAATATTCTGGATATATATTTATTGGGTTAGAATATCGACTAAATGTATTGGTATTATAAGAAACTAAATAAAAAGTCACTTATAATTTGAAATCAAGTATTAGATATTTGTTGAGAGAGAGAGAGAGAGAGAGAGAGAGAGAGAGAGAGACTGAACTAGTTTAATGTAATAATGTTTTAATAATGTAATGTATTTTTGATAAACTAAAGCTATTTGATGTTATGTACTTCACTATATGGTGAGTTAGTTGAGGAGATTTGCTGATACCATGTATGCTATTATGTGTACTGTATTCACAAGACATTAGATTTTCTTTAAAAATCATATAATATATAAAAATTTTATTTATTGATCACTAGTTTTCTTGTAAAAGCAAAGCAAACATCAATTTTATTGATTTAAACATCAAAACTAATGGAATTATATTCTGAATAAATGAGAGAGCATTTCACATAGATTTGAGAGAGAGAGAGAGAGAGAGAGTATAAAAATCATTATACAGAATAAGAAAAATGAATTAACTTAAAAATTAATGTTTAAAATGCATGATGAATAATTTTTCAGTAAAATCACTAAATCTTCCTCTCTCTCTCTCTCTCTCATTATATAAACAGAAAATTGTCAAATATTTTTATAACCGAAGCAAAGAATTCCCATTTAATTAAATTCCTGCACAAGTTTTATTAAAAATCCATAGTAATATCTAAATATATTGTAAATGCATTTAATATTTGACATTTTAATTTTACATTACAACGCTACAAATTATTATTATTAAAAAACAAATCTATCAATAATTAATTACGTTATTTCATATGATATATCAATAATGGCATCAATAGGCAATACATGTATTTTGCAACTATGTACAGTCAAATATATCATGATTACATTTTTAAAGAATATTTCGACCACTATTTATATGCATTTTAAACTAAATATTGCAGTCACACAACACTTGTTTATTTATTTATTCAATGCTAATAAATAATAGATTTTAGCCAAACCTTATTTTTGATATATTCAAACCAAAGGAATTTTATATTCATTTTAAATGTTATTTACTGTGACTTTTTTTTGTATCCGTACACTAGATGTCATAAAATAGAATAACATTATTCAATATTCGGCTATTTATTATAGAATATATTGCATCTCTCTCTCTCTCTCTCTCTCTCTCTCTCTCCGGTGGAAAAGACAAAGATTTTTGTCTAGTATTTTGTTAAGAGATTTATTTTGACGATTAAAAAATAAGAAATAAAAACAAACAAAATTTGCAATAAAATTGGAGAGAGAGAGAGAGAGAGAGAGAGAATTCTTACGCTCAAAAAGATATCAAAAGTGAAAAACATTTTTTCTCTTCATATCTCAAAATTCAATAACAATTCAAAATATATCGTAAAATATATAAAAATATAATATCTTTTAACGTATGGTTTTTATTCATACGACAAACACACAAAAAATTATATTTTATAACATTTTTCATTCAATTCATTATATCATTACATGAGTTATTATAGGAAGTTATGGACACAACACCACAATAAACATGAAAATCAATGATTAGTTAATGTTTTTGTGAAATATTTGCAGTATTTCTTACATTCTTTCTGTTTTTCTTTAATATTTAATGTAATTTTCTTTATGATTACTGCTTTGTATTATAATAGGAATAATAGGAAAATACATTCAAATAAATTCAGTCATAAATTTCATAGTTATTCAATGAAAATATACGGAAAGAAAGTGTAGTTTTATTTCGCAATTTTTTGACAATTTTTGAGATTTAAGGGTTGAATAACTGATAAACAAAATACAAAATCAATACAAATATCATTGGTATTGAAAACAAACGACGATAAAAAATAATTTCATTAATGTAGAAAAAATTAAACGTTAATATAAAATACACATTAATTTCACTGATAATATCAAAAAATCTAATTATAAACACGGAAACAATTTTTCATAAAGAAAAGTGAAATTTATTTCTAATAATCAATATTTAATATTTGCTATTAATATAAACCAGTAATTCATAAAAATTTTCACAACAAAAAACACTAAAAAATACCAAAACATAACAAAACCCAAAAATCAAAAACTATACCATGGTTAAAATAAATATTACAAATGATCACTTACTTGTTCCCAAGTGATAGAGCATCCCATGGCAAACATGACGGACACCAGGAGTACAACAATTAGGATATCATGTATTTTCTTCATAAGTGGTGGCGAAACGTATGGCGCGGGCATACGGGACGGGCCATCATCTAAACCACTGTCGGGCACATACATAGACTCGTTGGCCAGTCGTATAAAACTGGTCACATTGTCCACCAATGAGGTGGCCATCGTAGATGTGGTCAGACTGAACGTTGCCATTATGTATATAAATATGATATGTATAGTCAGTATCGGGGCGTTTAAGGCACGGCACGTGACATATGGTATATAAACTAATATCGATGTTGTGTTGGGTTTGGTGTCCTCTTCCGGACGGACTGTCGATAGGGTTGTTATCCTATGGTTAGAGACTACTGGAGTCGATGGTCTCTCTCTCAGTAACTCTTTACTTATCACGTGTGTCGACACCAGTCGTACGTATGGTATGATCACTAGATATACGGACAATCAGACAGACAAACTGTTAGTTACCAAACAAACTACTCGTCCACTCCTCAAACACCCGGAGACTGAATGGGAGAAAGGAATTGAAAGTTTTTTAAACACAGATTTGAACCGCAATTGGAAATCACACACAAAACAAAAACTTTTTTATTTATATATAAAACTTTTAACTCAGAGAACAAAATAAATAAAAATAAAAAGTTTTTTGTGCAGAAATTTTTACAACAAAAAACTTTCATGCATTTAAAAGGATAGCAATAAAAAGTATGAATGACTTTTTTAACGCACTCTTTGTATACCCTATTCTCTCATTGAAAAAACACACATATATTTATTGTCAATAACCATAAGTATAGTGTAATTAAATGCAAAATATATTAAAAGTACACCGACTTTACTGTACTATTTGGCAGTGTCTATGAGTCTATGATTTTCAGGTATTGAAAAATAAAATATTATGAGAGAGTAAAAGGGTGTCAATGTATTGGATGCTAGAGATCCGATTGCCCAAGGTAAACCGTAAGTATATACATGGGAAACAAGGGGGTGGGGGCTGTGCCCGGGGGTTATGACAGTGTTGTTTATGAATGATTGAGTGGTGGGGGAGGGCAAATAAAGTTACACACTATCTAAGCCTTTGATTTATTTTGTTTATGTGTACAAAAAATATAATAATTTCCTCTCAAAGTATTATAAGGCTGACAATAATAAGAGTGTTTATGTGTATTGAAACTTGTATTTTAAAATTATACACTGTTTTTAATATACTTTATATTTTAATGCTCTCTCTCTCTCTCCAATTTTATTGCAAATTTTGTTTGTTTTTATTTCTTATTTATTTTGGATGTAAAGGGAAAACGATTGATAAAAGGGCTGATTTCCCAGTGATAGGCATTTTTCTATACGTGTGTTGTTTTCAATGATAGCATTTGATTGTCTCTCTCATTGACAATAGGGTCTGTTTTTATCGCAATTTCTGTCATTTTGGCATTAATTTTATTATTTTATTTCCGAAACAGAAAAACAACTAAAAAGTTTTAAATTGAAATTTAATCTCAAAGTTTCACACAAATCGCTGTCGAAAATATATTTATACAAACTATTTAAACATTTAAAACATTAAATTAATGGTAAATTGCATTCTCGGCAAAAACCATAGGAATATTCCTAAAGCTTATAAAACTAAACTATACTATAAATTATAAACTCCTTTCACTCTATAATGCTATTTATATTATAATTGAAATAAAAGAAAAATACTCTTAAATTCATTTCAAACTAAAACTCAGTAAAAATACATTGAAAATCTATACATGTCTTTCGGGTCTCCGGGATGTATACCATGTGTGCTGTGTATTGCATATCGTCTCCCAAATGGCAATACATAAAACACAAACACATTTCTTTGTTAACCATTTAGACAATCATAAAACAAACGAAATAAGAAATCTTTAATATATTTTGCTCTCTCTCTCTCTCTCTGCCATTCATTCACTCTCTTATATATGTTATGGAAAGCATTTAGGGATAATAGCCATCAGTAGTGCCATTGCGAATAAAGTGGTGAATTAATGGCAAACAATTTTTCTCATTTAACTCTCTTTCTTATTTGTTAGAGAGAGAGAGAGAGAGAGAGAGAGAGAGCAAAATATATTAAAGATTTCTTATTTCGTTTGTTTTA